TTCGGGCTATTCCGGCCGATATGCTCGAAAAAGTTGCCCAAAATTGGACTTTCCGAATGGACCACCTAAGACACAGCCGCGGTCAACATTTAAATGAAATTATCTTCAAAAAGTAAATGTCATGGACCAATCTAACGTTTCAAATAAAGAACCGATGAGATTTTGCAAATTTTATGCGTTTTTTTTTAAAAAAAAAGTTATCAAGCTCTTAACAAATCACTCTTTAAATCAAATCATCGCATTTGAAATTAAAATTATTCAATTTCCCATATAATTTATTTGTTATTAAAGGAATTCCATTTGTAATTCAAAATATTTCATTTGCAATTTGCTACATTCCAACAATTCCATTGCAAAACATACACTACATCGAATTATTTGAAATACAAATGGAACTATCTACGTTTTAAATGAAATGTTTTGCATTGCAATTGAAATAATTTAAACTATTGTGAATAATGATGAATTACAATTGGAATTCACTAATCACAATTAATACATAATTTAAAAAATTTCTATTGAAATTCAAATGCTCATTTCTTATTAAAAAAATATTAGTATTTGTTTCATTTGTAATTTCCAAAATCTATTCAGAGTTTTCAAAATTTATTTTTTGAATTGCGATTGAAATTATTTCAAACACAAATTGATTATTCGAATTAGAAAAAAAATAAATTTCGAATTACAAATACATTTTATTCATTCATTACGAGTGAAAATCTCCAATTACCATTAAAATTAATTGAATTACAACTGTAAAAGGTGTATCATTTGAAAATATATAAAAGTGTAACATCTGCAATTCAAAACATTGTGGTGAAATTGAATTCAAATTACAAATTGAATTATAAATAAAATTTTTGAATTACAATTCAAATCTTCAATTACAAATGAATTATATAAAAACATTGAAATTTCGAATTACACATTACTCCGTGTCTCTAAACCATGAAATTGTTGGTATATTCCCGTACTGCTAGAATCTACTATATTTGACTATTTTTTTTTTGATATCATAAATGAAAAATCGTTATGGTATATACTAAAAAGTAGTTGATTCTTGCAATACAGGAATGTATTTTTAACGGCACCGGGTTAACCTACTTTAAATCAGGGATGCACGCCCTTGCACTCTAGCGGTCAGCTCAACTCACACGGATTCTTACGCTCATTTGTTTAGTCGTCGTTGAGACTTAAACGAGTAAACATGTCTATGGTGGTGTGCATCATTTTGCGGCTACGTTTAAGCGGCCCAAACACGTCAAACATGTACGTTTGATCGTTGTGAAGCTCCTAGACCACAAAAAAATCAACAAAAATTCATTTCGAATTTGGTTTTTAAAGATAGACAGCGATAGTGACGACGTAAAAAAGACCGAACTTTGTTATTTAATTAAATTATTTTAATTTCATTCACACCGATGGAAGGCACATGTTTGACGTGTGTGGACTGCTTTAGCTTTGTGTACTAGTCTCACAAATACATTTACAAATTGCCATCCTCTCACCGTGTGCATCACTGCTTTAAATCCACTGGGTTGATGAATTCCAGTACAATGTAAACGTACTATTAGGCCAGCTGTTTCAGAAATATGCTGTCAAAAATAAATTATTGTGAATGAAATTCACATCATGAAAACGTCAAAGATGTTTTTATGAACATTTTTTTGGTTTTAATTACATTTGAAAAGGGTGTATGAAGTGTACTCTCTAAACCATAGAATTGAATGCAAGGTTTAGGAAATCCAGGAAGACAGTTGTCCAAATAAATTATTGTGAATTAAATTCACAGTATAAAAACATCAACAATCGAGTTAAACGTAAAAACAATTTTTGTTACAAATAATTGTTCGATTACTTTAAAAAAAAAAAAAAAAAAAAAAACGTAGAGGAAAGCAGTATAACCTCAGCCAAGCCAAAATATTTATTTTTATTTTTCCTGGGAGACCAGCTGGATATCAGCTGCCTCTCAAGTTTGCTCTCAAAATCCAATGTTGTGAATTGACTTGCATTATAAAAACGTAAACAAAGTCCAATTCTTTTACTTTAGACTTAATTAATAGATTAAGAGATCTTGCTCCCAACCATAAATTTGAAAAAATATTCCTGGAAAATCAGCTGTTTCTGAGGAATGCTGTCATCATAAATTATGGTGAATTAAATTCACAGCATGGAAAATTACGTAAACATCAAACGATTTAGCAATGAATTACATTTGAAAATGGTGTTTGTAGCCTACACTCTAAAACAAAGGATTTTATGTTAGTCTATTAAAAAGGTCACCCAGTAAGATCAGCTGTTTCTCATATTTGCTGTCAAAAAAAAAATTATTGTGAATTAAATTCACAGTATGAAAACGTAAACAATCAATTTCAACGTGATGGAGTATATTTTGAAAATTTTGTCTGAAGTGTACTCTCTAAACCATGGTAGGTCTATTAATAAAGTCACCCCGAAACGATCAGCTGTTGTTCATGTTTGCTGCCAAAATAAATTATTGTGAATTAAATTCACAGTATGAAAACCAAAAGAATGTTTTTTTGTTGTATTATTTTTTGAAAATTGTGTCTATCGAGTAATATTTCCCATGGTTGGCAACATTGCACAGTGAGTTCCAGTCGAAACTTCGTACTTTGACAGTAAATCCAATCAGCTGAGCAAAATGGACTACATATTTATTGTGTCATGCTATGCACTTTGACGGTTAATCGGATAGTCAGCTGCGCGAAATGATGTTTACGTTTTCATAATGAAAGTCAATTCACAATATTGGATTTTTATAGAAAACTTGAGAGACAGCTGATATCCAGCTAATTGGATGACTTTATTAATAGGCCTTGGGTGTACCTCACTCAAATCGGAATATTTATTTTTAACTGAGGAAATTTTTGACCATATTGAATGATTTTTCGTTATTGTATTTATATTTTTTACGAATTTTAAAGATTAAAATTTAGTCGAAGATCCCAGAAAATATTGTAAGGAAAGCCAAGATCGAAATTATCAAATCTGAGAAAAAGTGGAAATAAAAAACAAATTAAAAGTTTCCTTAATTAAAAATTGATAAATAAGTATCACAATACAAAAGGAAAAGGAGTTTGTATGTATCTGCTGCCCATTTTGTCTAAGTCTATTAGTGAATATCCCCAGCATGTGTTGGTGAGTTTTATTTTTTGTAAGGGGAGGGTGAGGGAGGAGGAAAAGTGAAGAGTTTTGTTTATAGCAATATCATAGCGATCATTCAGTTTTTTTTTTTCAAATAAATATCTGTGGGTGTATTAGTCTAAATTTATTGACTCCAATTTTATATGTATTTTAAGTATGTATGTGTTTTTTGTATATACGAATGCATTGCGTCTTCACAAAAAATATCCTATGAAATTATCCGTCAGCTAACTAGCCTAGCATATCATGTCTTGTAGTATGTTGCATGGAGTGGAGTGAATTAAACCAATAATCTTAAAATAGTTGTTGATGTTCTGTTGTTGTTTTTTTTTTTCTTTAATGTATATTTTGTATAGCTCTTGTTCTTTGTTTTTATTTTATAATTATAGTATATTTAATAATTCATTTATTAAATAGGTTTTGTTTTCATTTTGTATTGTTTTTTCTGTGTAGTTGTTTTTAAGTATTGTTTGTTTGTATTGTTTTTTTTTTGTTTTTTCTTTATAAGACTAAAAACCAAAATTAAAAAATAATTAAAAATTAAAAAACTAAATTAAAAATTGTTAACATTAACATTTCTTCGGGTTGTTGATTTTTTTGGGTTTTTGTTGTTGGAGGAAAAAAATTATATGTAACAATAGTTGTAGGTAGTATACAGTTTAAATTAAACTTATAAGTGTAATTGTGTTGTAATTGAGGTTATAACAAGAACATAAAAAATAAAATAATAATAATAATAAAATAGTGGTTGTTGTTAATAATAAAACTAAAAATATAGTAGTAGTTGTAAGAATCATAAGGTGGGATATTTGGATTTGCCAATGGCAATTTGATGAGGATAAAGGATGTTCGGGATAATTGAGGAGTGGGAAAGATAAGGCTAGGGCAAAACTTTAGTTACAAAGTATTTCAGTTTCCGTTTCAAAAAAAAATGTGAAAGTGGTATTTTTTGTTTTCTACAAATTTACAAAAAAAAAAAGAAATATACAAGTTATAAGAAAGTTTTGTTGTTTGTGTATGTTAGTTTTTTGTTCTGTAGTTAAGTGTGAGTGTGTGTAACCTTTGTTTTGGTAAATTTATTTTGTATAGTTTTTTTTTAAAGAAATTTGGAAAAAATCTATAAGAAATTTCTTCTCTGAGCCGAGTAATGATATCAGAAAAACATCGTTTAGTTAACTCATAGAAGCCAAAACAAAATACAGAAAATTTTTCAAAAAATTTCAGGACATACAAATTTGGAAATCTCACAATTTGGTTCGGTAAATATTTGGTACAATATAAATGCATTAACAAAGATAAATAAATTCAAAAGCAGAAAAAAATGTTCAACATTTAAATTATAACTAAAATTATATATATTTATATAATAAACCCGGCAATGGATAATATTTGTAATACATTTTTTTAATATAGAAACCAGCAAATTTAAAAAAATTAATATTAATTTGTATTTTTAATGAAAAATTAATAACAAAAAGAGGTTTAAAAAATTAACAAACATATTGTTGTTAATGCATTTATGTTATAACAAATTACATGTTCTTTAAAATATTAAAAAAAAAATAAAATTACAAAAACAAAGGTTATTTTGAAAATAATGTTTGTGTGTGTGTATGTGGGTTCTTGTATATAATTTTGGATGTCATTTAATTTATAAATTTACATTTCATAGCTGTAATTATATTTTTGTTTTATTACTTTTTTTAATTTTAATAAAACATCATTTTTTTCTTTTATTAACAAAAAACGCAGGTGGTGTTGTTGGTTGGTAGGTTTTTGTTTTTTCTCTTTGTATTACTCAACTACATAAGTATTTAGCTTTGTTGTTGTTATTATTATTTTATTTTTAATTATTATTATTATAAATCCAGACAGAAAAGAAGTGTTGTTTTTTTGTTGTTATTAGTATACATAATTTATGTAAACCATAGTTGTTATTTTGTTGTTGTTTTTGTTTGTTTTTTTTATGTGAAGAAAGAAAATCAGCATTACACATCCTGGAATTTAGAGAGACGTGCACGCAAGTCCATGTTCTCCTGTTTAAGCTGTTCCACCTCTTGGTGTAATGTGGCATTCTATTAAAACAAAAAAAATGAAAATTATTTCAAATAAATTAAAATCAATTAAAAATTTTAGTTTACTTACCTCTTTTTCCAAATATCGCGCCCGCATCGCAATTTGATTTTCCTTTTGACGGCGTGCATCCCGCGACCGTTTGGCAGCAATGTTGTTCTTTCGTCGGCGTGCCCAGTATTTGTCGTCCTTGAGTTCATCTGGAACAAATTGTTTGCGTGATTTTTTGATCATGGGTTGCGGTTTGAGCTCTTCATCAGAAAATGCTCGTGTGCGCGGATCGAAATCTCGCCCCGATGATGCAAAGGAAAATGCTGGAATATCAAATACTAAATGTTAACAATGTTTCACAAACTGTCCATTGTAAACTAAAATTATTGGAGTTTATTTAAATGAACAAACCAAACCAAACAAACAAAAGAAAACAACAAAAGAATGGAAAAAACAAATTTCGAAAGAAAGAAAAACATATGTAAAAACGCAGGTCAAATGAAAATGAAAAATAATAATACACTTTCAGTTTCAATTCTCGAATAGTTTTTTTTTGTATTTTTTTAATTAATAAAAAAACAGTTTTGGACACAATAGTAAATTTGATTTTCAATATCAAACTATAAACCTGCAAGGTGAACCTTTCCCTTTTCATACCCTCGTAAATTCCTCGAGCCATGTCCTCCATGCGAACACAAATTTTGTCATTATTAAAAAAATGAAGTAAAAAAGAGCCAGTCGGTGTTGCCGACAGATAAATACCCTCAGCATATAGTTTGCGCAGGTCTTTGAAATAAAACACATATTTCATTATTCGCTTTCTATCAACAAAGTTGACCATCTTTGGGGAGGTACCAGAAGAGGTTGCCCAATATACCTCATCTTAGAATTAATGTAGATTTGACAAAAGTTTTACGATTTGCAAAGTCTCGACATTCCATTGTTTTGATATTGGATTCACAAATTTTGAAAATGTTAACACTTTGTAGGGAAGATATCAGAGCTTTATCTATGAAAGGTATATATGTGACCATGTACAAAGTTTGAATGATATTGTATATTCCGTTCGCTCCATATGTGATTTAAAATGTTGATATTCGATATTCCATTCGCTCCATATGAGATTTAAAATGTTGAACCATTGTGCAGGAGGTAACAGAAAGAGTGGACCAATCTTTGGATATAGGCTAAATAAGAAGGTACCTGATAGGTCTTCGAACTTAATATGCATTTGAAAGAAAATTTACGATGTGCACAATTTGGATCAAATCTATTCGTCTAATATTGAGTTTATACATATTGAAAATGTTGACCATTTTATGGGAGCGTTACCAAAAGTAGTAGACCAATGGGTCATATCTTCGGAATTAATCTAGGTTTGGTAGAGATACTAAGTTGTGCAAAGTTTGGTTGAATTTTTCAGCAGAATTTTGATAATTTTGTGGGGAAGATACCATTAGGAGTGGCACGATATTCCGTTCGCATGACATTATAAGAGAGTTTTTCAGTTGAATTTTCATAATTTTGGGGGAAAGGTACCAAAAGGATCTGACCGATATTCACCATCTTTGAACTTAAACCAAGTTTGAAAGCAATATTACGATATGCAAAGTTCTGGTGAAATCGGTAACTCCCTTCGAGAGTTATCGTGCGCACCAGTCAGCCAGAAGACAAATTAACGGACATTTGTAAATCGACTCTAAATTGTCTGAAAGTTGGCTTAAACAAGTAAGCGGAGCAGTATAGTCGGAAGGGCCGACTATGTGATAACCTGCACAACAACCAGGAAAATCTAACCTTCTGTTATTCTATTTTCTGAGCCTAGGCAATAGTATGGGATATTTGCACCCACTTGACCGATTATAGGTCAAAAGCTCCCCTTCCAAACTCTGGCATAATTTCCAAGTCTTGTTTTCCTGAGGTGAATATCTACGCCATAAAATAAAAAATTTGGTCACTTTAGGTTTTTGGTTGATTTGACCCTAAACAGTCGTCCTAAGTATTTGGTCAGATCTCTTCGCCGTGTTAAATATGTGATGTTCGACATATAACAATGGCCTCTAGAGCGACTAGAAAATCCGACAAAAACAAAGTACGCATAAATATCATCGCAACATCACCAAAAATAATAGGCGTCTTCCTTGACCATAATCGGATTTTCAATGTAAAATTTCAAAGCGATCAGCGTGACATTTCCGCCTTTTATGGTAATACTAAACATATTACTCCTCACATCCCACATATAATTGGTATCAATTTAAAGGTCAGCAACTTCAGATATACTATCAACTTCTCGGGTCTATGTTCTTCAGAAGTAAATATATCGAACCAGAATACAAATTTTATAAATTTTCACAAAAAAGTCGGGGTCCATTTGACCCATTTTATAAATTTTCATAAAAAAGTCTGGGTCCATTTGACCCGCTAAATATTGACCGATCTTCATCGAAACAGTCATTCCCTTCTTGGTGTAGAATTTCGTTGTGTTCGGGTCATAATTGTGGCCTCTAGAATGAGCAGAAAAACGGACAAAAATAAAGTTGTTGGCCCATTTCATTCCCTAAATATTAACGGATAATTACCAATAGGGGTCCTTTTGGGTCAGAATCCATTTTATATACAAAAATTTCGTGACGATTGGTCCATAACTGTGGCTTTAAAAATACTTGGGGCTGCACAAAGCTATAATACCCCGATAACATAGTTGTGTGGGGTATAAAAACGAAAATTTAGGGGAAATGTTATGTGCAGGCTGCTCTAAAAAGTAGACCGACATATAACATTTATATCACAATACCAAACATCCTAAGAGCAGTAGCAATGTAAATATGTGCAAATTTTAAAAGCTTCATCTTTACCGATTCTAGGTATTTTAAAGATTAATATGTGCCTTAATAATAAATCTTTAATCTTTAAAATTCGTAAATTTTATTTTGACATAGTTCCATCTAGAATTTATGTTTATACGATATTTTTGTTTTATTTGACCCTTATGGTTTTGCAGTATCTAATATCTGCTATACAAATTTCAAATCAACAACAAAAACAAAATTACAGTACCCTTTTTGTTATTCTAAGCTGTAACAGTTTATATATCAATTTTAACATTTAGCATTTGATAAATTTCAGTATAATTTCTTTGAAATAAGTATTTTACAATAGATACAATTATTTTAGAATATCAATAAAAAAACATATGCAAATAGAATGCAGGACTCCGATTAAATTGTCATGAAATTATAAAAAATAGAAAATTTTATTATTTCATTTCGATATTTAATTTTAAAAAAATGGGTTATATAAACTAATTACTATTGTGTCCATACCAAAATGTTGTTCCAATAAAATTTTGAATTGTAAATATTAGTACAAAAGAAAAAGAAACTATTTTACAGAAAATTATAAAAAAAAAATACAAATAAAGGAAGGAAGAAAAGGAAGTTGGTATAGAAGTAAACTCAAAATAATAGGTGGGATAAAAAGATAATCTCCGTTTCTAATAACCTGTTGTATTTTCTTTTGCCATTGTTTTTTCTTGTTTCTTTGTTAATTTTCTTTGTTGTGTTTTGGTTGGTACTCACTTGACTCAGCTGGTGATGGTGGATTTAAGGTATCCGGACTTATACAATCTGACGGTGACGGTGATCGTTCACGTTTTGTCGTTATGTGTCCGAGTCCCAGGGACAGACCAGCTGCATGACTTAGGGAATCTGAACGATGACCCAAACTACTCGAATGACCCAAATGGGTACCAGGCAAGCCATCAGGTATATTGTTCTCCGATAAAAATTCATCTAAATCGGCATACTGTACAAATTGAAAATATAAAAATGCATATATGTGGAATTTAGGATTTGAATGTCTATATGTGTAAAATATTAAATATATGTATTGAAAATTATAAATAAGAGTTTGTGAAATAAATGTTATACAAATACAAGAAGATTTTTGTTTGAGTTCATGTTGTTTGTGTGTGTGTGTGTGTTTCTTTTCTTGCAAAAATAAGTTATTCAAATCAGGCCATCCATAAGTGTTTAATATTTGAAAGGTTAGATGAATATTTTTACCACGATGACACCACGACATGTCTTACAGGGGCCAATAATTGGAATTGAATTTGTTGGCAGAACCTTGAAAATATCCATATACACCTAAGTCTGTTTTTACACGGTAGATTGGTTCCAGAAGAAGCCGTGTAAAAAAAAGGGAATTCTCCTAAATTAGTGCTATTCGCATTTGCTTTGACCAGTAAAAAATTTTTGTACGCGCTAAAAGACCGTGTAAAAACAGACTTAGGTGTATTGCAATCTATATGGGAATATGATGACACAATATTTAATTTTTTCGCCATAAAGCCTTCAATCTATTAAAAGCGCCCATTAAGGAAAAGACTAAATTCGGACGGAATTGACTATATGAAATCATACACCACTGTGTCCCTACAAACATGAGTTGGCTTAAGAATCTTATTGAAGCCTATAACACTATGCGACAAAATCGAGGTCATGGCCTGGGGGTTGGAAAATTCCTATTGGAAATGAAAGACCTTGGTGAGTATATGAAAACCGCCTTAAGGAAAAATTTGCCATAGGTCAAAGTTCGACGACCCTATTGTACTTGAAGGGATAGCTTCATATATTCGTTTGAAGCTAGTGTATGTATTTTTATACCCTTCACCACACTGTGGTACAGGGTATTATGTCTTTGTGCATATGTTTGTATCAGGCAAAATGAATCGAGATAGAACCATGGCTCCTTTTGAGAATATGCATAGGATCACTTTCTGTGTCGTTTACGCATGTCCGTCTGTCTGTCCGTCCGTCCGTGTATTTTTGTTAACAAAGTACAGGTCGCATTTATGATCCGATTTGTATGAAATTTGGCATAGTTCACTTATTTCGCTCAAGGACGAACCCTATTGAAATTGGAGAAAATCGGTTCAGATTTAGATATAACTCCCATACATAGTTTCGTCCGATCTTAGCTAAATGATGCACCAAACTCCCAATATTTGTCCGATTGGGACATAATTTTGCACAGAGTACTAAATAGGGTCCAGACTGATGTCTTTGAAATTTTGTTAAAATCGGTTCAGATTTAGATATAGCTCCCATATATAGTTTCGTCCGATTTTTTGTGAATGATATACCAAATCCCTAATATTTGTCCGATTGGGAGAAAATTTTGCACAGAGTACTGAATAGGGTCCAGAATGATGTCTGCGAAGTTTTGTTATAATCGGTTCATATTTAAATATAGCTCCCATATATGGTATCGTCCATTTTTTTTGTGAAAGATGCACTCCCAATATTGTCCGATTGAGACGAAATTTTGCACAGAGTGCTGAATTAGGTCCAGACTGATGTCTGCGAAGTCTGACTGAGCAAAATTTTGTATAACGAGTGCAATTGTGTGATGTGTGATAAGGTTTGTTGAATCGATTCTGATTTTGGTTGACACACTTATATGGCAGATATAATAAAATATGGAACAATTTTCTGCGAATACGTTTTTACTACCAAGAACCCGCAATGCTAAATCAAAAAACAAAAAAAAAAAAAGAGGAAAAAAGAACCGAGTCTCTAGGTTCTATATTCCTCGATTTTTTTTTTTTTTTTTTTTTTACGTAGTTGGCATAACTACATATTGTTTTTGAAAATAATTCAGACTAATTCTACAGTTCTACAGGGTTTAGGGACAAGAAATGGGTAGAATGAAGAATAGACCAATAAAACATTAAAATGTCGATTTCGTCTTTGAGGACCCCAACTAAAATCTTATGAGCAGCATTTTTATAGAATATTGCGAGGATGAAAAATAGCATCTTATAATAATTGGAGTCCGATTCAATAAATTAAGAACGAAAATTAATCGAGTTAGAAGGACGAAAAGTACACACAAGAAATCGTGTTAGAAGGTCGACATATTATGTAAAATTTTCAGTTTTGCCGAAGAGACAGACGACTGTGTGATTCGAAGTGCTTCTTCAACGAAATACTTTCATTGTATTTTGTTCATCTTCGATCGCATTTTTTGGAAATTACTCTGCAAAAATTGACACGCACCTAAATTTTTGGTCGGTTTTACGGTCAGGTTTTTATGCCATACTGGATGTATGATGGCATAAGAAATGACAAAGGATGTGTCTATCTCAATCAGTTTACGCATGACATCTATGTTCTGTAGCTCAACGGCAGTTTTTGGACAACCCTCGTCTCTTAGCATTTATACCGGTCTCTCAGCAAATGAGCGAAATGTGTTCTAATTAGAGACACAATCAGTGCTGCCATTTAAATTTCATGAAAAATCGTCAATTTTTCAGAAAAAAATCGGCATTATCGGCATTTGTATTTTTAAAAATCGGCAAAAAATCGGAAGCATATAATTTATAAGTAAATTCATATTTTTTTGGTTTATAACAAATCAATATTGTTTATTACATTAAAAAAAGATAACAAATTCAATTCTGAATAACATAAAAGATTCATTTTTCTACAAAAAATGTAGATTTTTCTAAAATATAGTAATTATTATGTACACTAGTGAGATCTTTCAGATCATAAAAATAACTTACAAACTAGTACATATTTTTATTACACAATTTTAGTAATTTATTTAGTTTGAGGTAATATTTAAATAAAGAATCCCTTCCAATGAATCATTCTCAAGTGAGCTTCTAATTTTAGTTTTGTTAAGGTTTACCTGACTAAAAATTCGTTCCACATTTGCTGTGGAGTGTGGAAGAACCATAATTCTTTGTACAAATTTAGACAAAACTGGAAAAGCTAAATTGGAGTCCCCACGTTTAATTTCGGAAATTTTTTTCCAAAAACTTTTTAAATTATAAAAGCATTTTCAAAAATTTCTTCAAAATTCAAAAGTTTAACTCCCTAAACTCGGAGTCTAAATTTTTGCCTTATTCGATGTAAAATGTAAACTAAACAGAGTACAATGCTGACAAAAAATGCAGATATCTAAGCCATTGAAAACGGCAGCGGCGAGTCGCCGATAGTTATAATGATTTAAAGCTGCCAATTTTATATGTTTGTATGGTAACGCCGCATTAAATTAAAAAGTTAGACAATTTGTGTCGATTGTTGAAATATCGGCAATTCTGAGGCAAAAATCGGAAAATCGGCATTTTCCATTTTTAGAGTGAAAAATCGTCAAAATGCCGATAAATCGGCAAATATGGCAGCCCTGGACACAATAAGTAATATACTCCATCGAACGTTTGGGATATATTTTTTAAAGATTTATCACTACTATCGAAACAAATTGGAAATTATTTGAATAATTTAAAACAATATTTCCTATAGTTCACGATATTATTGTGCTGACTGATAATACCGCGAATGGGATTAATTTCGTTCCTAAGATCTTCTTAATTATATGTTTATGGCTTGATTTAATAAACCTTTTTGCTTGATTCGAAAAGAACACATTTTGTTAATTCTTAATGTTATTTACATTGTAATTTTTTTTAAACATTTATTAAAAGTATTAATGTTTATGTGTTGATAATTTCAGAAAAAAATTGTATTTAATTACATGAAACAAAATCGGATGAAACAAATTGAATGGTTTGCCACTACTACAGAAGCATCAAGTTTAGTAACAATTCACATGAACACAGTACATATGTGTATGTGTGGTGTGAGTCATTTCTCTGTTAGATGAGATTTTTATTTTGAAATTTACTTATTTTAGAAAACCAAAATTTGAAAATTATTTTTAATAAAACAGTTAATAATTTTGTATTATATATATTTTTTTTAAATGAAACAATTTATAGAAAATAAGTAAATTTCATTAATTATATTTTCAGGTCATTTAATGTTTTGTGTATATTGTAAGTGGTTGTTTTGTCTGTAAATGTGTGTATATGTCGATTTCACAAACAATCGTATAACAGTTTTGGTCATAAAAATAGCATAGTTTTTACACAAAATTGTATTTTTTCATTTAAAATAAATTATTTACTAATTAGAATAACGCATTCCAAACTTAAACAAAATATTTCTAAAGAATTAAAAAAAAGTAACCAAGGCGTTAAATTCGATCGAGTCGAATATCATTTCTAAAAAAGAAACGAAACACGCTCCAACAACGTATTGAAATTAAATTTGAAAAAGGTGATAATCTGGCAGTCACAGTTCGCAAACCTCACATATTTTTGGGTCGTCGTGAAGAACGATGTCGGATTGAATGCATCAATTTGTTCAAAATTCAAGATGTTGGCACAAATTAGTTGTGTGATGCACCCCGCTCAATAACAACTGATAATATTAATGCTATTGCCCAATGTGTTGAAGAAAAACCAGGATTGACCATTCCTTTTGACCTTGACCACACACTTAGAGTGACATGTCGTGAGATCCAGGCATCATTGATCAATTCTATATCTTCGCTAAAGAACGGAGTATGGCAATCTCGAAAAATACAATCCCTATGCTTCAAAAAAAGGGGCATCATAGATAACGAATTAAACAAAACAGTATCCTATAGTGTGGGTCCACTTGTGTAACGTAGCATGAGCGATTCCGGGTTGTACACTCCAATTTCATTGCCTAAACTCTTCGTACATATTCGAAAAACGAACAAGAGAAGACGAATTATTGTGCACCATTGCCAAGGGGAGCTTTCACACATCGGGTCAAACCAGCTTTGTTTAGACCTACCAAAACATGGAATTAATATGGCACCTAATGGCGATAAAGCTCCACCCCACAACGAAGGGTGTCCAAATACGGATGTGGTGGCATAGGACATTTCACCGTGTGGGAACACATAATGCAAGGCATAATTTTATATCGAGGGATAGAAGAAAACTTGCAAATTTTTTCTTTCAGCATACATTTGATATTGCATGATCATAATTAGACAATCGCTCCAAAAATATCTCCCACGGATTAGAGCAAAGATACTTTGGAAAACACGACGGTTATAAAATCCTCACAGGTGGCGAATCGTGGAACTCTGTTTAAGACACCCAAACATATCAATTGATCGTAAAGTCCCCAAAGACTGTACTATAAGTGGTCGCCTTTTGTGGCTACTGTCTTTTTGACCTTCCAAATTAAGGAATTGGTGGGTCATCCGCCGTATATAAGCACCTAATGTTGTCTTCATTTATTTCCGCTTATCGACGCCGAAATGTGCAGCTGTAACTTTAAAATCTCATTTTAGGGTGCTTTAATCGGATTGGAAAATGATTTCGAAAGTTCACAAACCAAGCTGAAGAATAATTTAAAAACCAACTAAATTCTTGATTATAAAAAATATTCCCACTTTCATTATTAATTCTTAAAATATATATCAGCCCACATATTCTACTACAATTTTACTTTAAGTTTGATATTTCGAATTGCAATATTCTCCAACAGCATTGATTTTTAAAGTATATTTTTTATTTTCACATATTTTATACACATTAAGTAACGACAATTTTTAAATCCCTATTTTTAATCTGCCATTTTTATGACCGTAACTGTATAAGAAATATAAAATATGGGGTAATTGCATTGTGCGCGATATTTTGCATTTTATTTCAGTATATATTTTTTTAATGTAAATCCCCATATTTTATAGAAAAAAAAAATCACATGTATAATGTATTTAGATATAATAAAAAAACGAGACACTGACGCAGCCACTACAGAGCGAGCGATGGTGATGATACTAACTTGTGTTACCTTAAGATCAGCATCGTAGGGCAGAGTTTTCTCCCATAAATTGGGGCCCAAAAATGCAGTCTGAGCCTCAACATTCCAGAGATCACCTTCTTCTTTGTATTTGTCATCGGGACAAATTACCTCTTTGCTATTCGATGTGGATTTACCTGAAATTAGAGAAGAAAGAAGAAAAAAATACAAATTGTTATTATTAACACGAAAGAAACAATAAAAATAATACATGCAAGAAAGAAATGCTAGCAAACAAGAAATTCAACACTATTTCTTTTTCTATTTCTATACTTGTGTCCGACGACGACTACGACTTTGACCATTGTTTTGTGTGGCATTGGCCTTTTTTATGTTCTGTTCTGTTTCTGTTCTTATTAATATTCTACACTTGTTTATACAAAATGTATTTATTTTTATTGTTGTTGTTGTCTTCTAGTTTTCAAGTTCACGTTCAAGTTCTCAAAAAGCTTTGCTCGTTTTTTTCCGTTTTCGGTTTTTATAGTTAGTTTTGTTTTGATAAATTCAAGCGGTCTCTTGACACCTTTCATTTGTATTCTAATTCCCTAGACGTTATCATTTGTGTTTTAGTTGTTCTTAAGCAAATATGACAATTGTTTTTGTTTTTTTTTTTAATTACATTGTACTCGTTGTACTGTACTGTACTGTATTCGTTGGTATTGTTGTAATTCTCCTCTTCACTCTTTAAGTTATAAGCAATGTATTTTAAAGTTCGAATGCCTCGATAAGAGCCTCAACAATGTCCGTACACTTGATCAAATATTTGGAATATAAAAATAGCGATATAAAATATAATGAGGAGAAACTGAAAGAGGATAACAGTTATCAAAGTAAATAAATTGTTGCAAATTATAAGTGCGGCATTTGCTAAAACTAAAAAAATTATAGAGTTAGGAAAAATAGTGTAAAGCTATAAGAAAAAGCTTTTCAAGGAAAGTTTTATATGAAAATAAAATTTTAATAATTCAAAGAAAGGAGAAAAAAATAGAATTCCGATAATAGGATGCTGCTGTTATTTGAACATTTTTATTATAAAGAAAAACTTGAAACATTGAAAAATATGTGGTATCGGATTTACGGAAAAGGTCATTAAAGTATCGAAAATTACGGCTAGCCCCAAAAGGTTTAGGATTTTAAAGTATCTGACATTGTCATTGGAAAGGTTTAGACGAGGACGAGCTGAAGAGAGTCTTGTCTTTATAGACGACCTGAAGGGCGTCTTAATAGACGAGCTGAAGGGCGTCTTACTAGACGACCTGAAGGGCGTCTTACTAGACGACCTGAAGGGCGTCTTACTAGACGACCTGAAGGGCGTCTTACTAGACGACCTTAAGGGCGTCTTAATAGACGACCTGAAGGGCGTCTTAATAGACGACCTGAAGGGCGTCTTAATGGACGACCTGAAGGGCGTCTTTATAAACGAGCTGATAGCAAAATCTTTATAGACGAGGTTATAGGAGTGTCTACAGACCTATAATAGTGTCTACAGTGTCTACTGAAGGCAGTATTTACAAAAATTCTTAAAAAGTCTCCTCAGACGATCTGAAGACTATATATATTTCTGGCCAAGGTTGCAGCCTAAATATTGCCAGGATTCATCTGACATTTCCCTTGAAAATGTTGACATTTCTTAGCAAAAACGTACTCAGTATGGTGTGACATACGAAAAATTCTTGTGTTGTTTACAATGACTTAAAAAAGAATGTTCCGAAACAAGTTTTCCGAATAATTTGAAAAACCAGCAAGAGAAACCGAATTAGATATCGGTTCACACCAGCGCCCTTTTGACTTGCCAAACAATAACCTTGGCCCCAAATGCAAAACTTTAGTTAATTCACGAAGACATCCCGAATAATTTTCAGTTATTTTATGGACCCAACCAGCAAGACACCACGTTGTTGTTGATTGGACGGCTTGAGTTCTTATGATCATCGAAATGTATAAGTCTACGATGTAACGGCATTGTGGAATGCCCATCGGTGCACGATTTGGTCAAATTTTCTAAACAAAAGGGCTGTAATTTGCACACAGGGATTTTTGAGGCTGGCATACATATATGGAGATAATTATTAGTGCTAGTCGGTCCATGCATTAACATTGCCCCTAAAAAAGTTGTAGGATTTATTTCGAATTTCTCCAGCGAAGTGGATGAAAATGGAGCATATATAAGGGCCACCACATGGAGCTGAAAATTTTTAACGGATTGGTTATTATTTTGCATTCACATGCCCATGTTTTGATATAGCCCACGCCACATTTTCTGTACTTTTAAGGTAAGGCTGAATTTCGAAACTATTATGGGTCCAAGTTTTTAATTGTATACAGAGGTATATCCTAACGTTTGATATGTAAATGTTCCTAGCCTAAATTTCGGACCTTAGGGTTTGAAATTCGGTATTTAATTTTCCCAGAGTGTAACACTTTACAATGACATTATCTCCATATACATGTACCGACTTTTTACAGAAATTTGGAACTAAACATGGATTCAAGTTGTATGGTATATTTTTTATTTCGGATATATTATATGCTATTTTACTATTATTTACTACTACTTAACAAATTCATAAACAAATCTATTTCAAACATATCAGACCATTTCCTGTTCTGAAAGTAAACCCTATGAAGAGTTATAATCTTCTCCATATATCCACAAGATACCACCACACAAAAACTCCCATTACACCTTAATAATACTGTTGTTGTTGTTAGAAAATATATAAATACACACACACATACAACGAACACCATCTCATACAAAGTCCAAAAGTCATGAAATTTTTGCACATTATTTCCGCATACGAAATGAAAATAAAAAATAAATAAAAACAACAACACAGCCATCAACTGGAAGGGAGAGTTCCAAAGAGAAAAAGAGAAGGGGGCCAAAAATAATAAATTACACACCTCCCAAAAAATTCAACAACAAAAACAACAATTGTTAAAAAAAAACAGTAAACCGGTTAGATTTTTTTGGGGGGTTTTATCATTTCGCTGTTTTAGGAGGAAGAAAGAGCTAAAGAAAGCATGACACGACATGATGTAAAAAAAAGATACATTCGCAGCGAAGATACACGATCACCAACAATGGAGGGGGAATGGTGTTCAGCTGAGTTCACCAATATTTTTGGTATAAAAGTCATACACAAATACACACACACATATGTGTACATGGTGTCTGTGTGTATTTTACATTATAACATAATATCCCGCATTAAGTCACAATATCAAGCAAAGAAACATGTAGACAAAGCAAAACAAGGAAAGAAAGAAAGGTTGAAACAAAACAAAAAAAGAAACTCCATCCCAAAAAATACAACCAACATTTGTAAAAGCGAAAGTGAAATTTTTGTAGCACAAGCTTGGACTGAGCGTCTGTGTCTCCATGTCCAAATGACTGTTGGTTGGTTTGTTGTATTCTCTTTTGTCATTAGGTATGCAAGAGCCGACATAGACTAGCAAAATATAATAATGCGAATAATGTCTGGTTTTGTTGTTCTTCACCGGTGTTGTTGCTGTTGTGTTTAACTGATTCATCCGTCCATCCATCCATCAATAGTTGTCCCGTGAGACAACTAGCAACAGTTTTCAATCTCGGCAAACAGATACACATAATTGAAGCTTAATGATCAAATTTAAATGCTTTTCATGTTTTAAAGAAATTTACAATAGCAACATCAAATGGTTTTAATGTCTTTGATTTTATTACTGTGGCTGGCCATAGATTAAATAGACAGACATACATATATTTTAAATATCAAAATATTTTAGGAATTATTTCGCTATAATAAGAACAAAAAACCAGAAATTATTAAACCGCACTAAAACCGTTTACAATATCCTAGAGTGTCGATATCGGCATGATTATACTTGAAAATCATACAGCGATCTTATGACTTAACTTCTTGTGACTTCTTCCTTTGATGCCACCAGAATGATAAGGGTGTGACCCAAGATAGAATTCGTGAGGCAATCAAGGACATGGTACAGCTTTTTCTCAAAAAGTGATCCTCCAATTGAAAATTTTATTTTACAAATTTGGTGGATCATTCTTCACTTCAAATTAGAAGACCTAGAGAGACTGGCTCGCAATTTTGGCATCTAGAAAACTAAGGTCATTTTAAAATTAAGTACATAAGTGCAAAAAACATCATGGTACAAGTCAAAAAATTTAACACGTCGATAGCTTCTCTTATCTATCTCCAATGTTACTATCTCAGAAACTATTCATTCAGACGACTGTAAAGCGGCTCAAATTATAGTTCCAGAAGAAACTGGTCCAAAGGAAATATTCCGCAAAAGGAATGATCGGAATGAGAGGTACGGACTCATTACTTTATACAGTTTCTTTGGCTAAGTCGTTAATTTTTGATCACGTCTAGATCTTACCGTTAGTTACCATAAAGGAATGAACCAGTTCATTTTTATGAACAAATTCACGAATGCCATATTTTTAATCATAAACAAATGCCTCCGGAGCATGTGCAACAATATGCACGATATTCTAGCTCTAGACCAAAACCAAGATAGAGCTGTTGAACCTTACGAACGTAAGAAATGGAGTACTTCTGAAGCGGTTGAATTTGCAAAATGAACTAAATCATTAATTTTAGTTCATTTGTTAATTGGCACATGTCAGTTAATCCGGTAAATGTCTCAGATGATCAAAATGAGCATAAAACAAAACGAAGTAGATGAACGAAAGAAACGAACCTATAGTTCCATTTGCAGGAATAGTTCCTTCGAACCAATTCGTCCCGGAATGACCCAACTCTACTATGCTGACCAGAGGAAGAAATAGCTCGGTGAAAAATAAGTTTAATGAATTAAATCGTGATTGACACTCGCTCCAAGTCAAAGCTCGTAAAGGTTCGGCCACCGAGCATGAATGGATATGCAAAATCTTAATATGGCATATAGAGGCATCCTTGGATATTTCTTCCACCAGCACACATTCGATATTGCAGGGCGTAAAAAGCATTTCTTTTTGGGTCCCGCACATTACGAAAATCGCTTAAAAAATGCCCGCTTCAATTGGTGCAAGGGAATTTTTAACATGTCTCGTTTGTCAAGACAAAGCACTCTTGACCGCTAAAACTTCGAGATTTATGGGCCATCCGCATGAGTGGTATATAGC